AAAGTTTTTCTTCATTACCCATTTAAGCCGTCTCCAGCCATTATTAGTCTCAAAGTGGGTTCCTCGTCATCGAATTTACTCATATATGTTTGAGAGTAAAATAATTTTTATAGAAAAATTTCACAATGACTTCTTAGTTCAACTTAATGTCTATCAGTAAAAATTCAAGAGAAAAGTAGACGACATAGTTTTAAGTAACCAGAGTGATGTGAAGAACGTGATAAAAACAACAATATTCAAAGACTTCTGTAGCGAGAAGTCATAAAAACACAACTTCGTGATCACAGAAAAGGCTTAATTCATTTTGGCTTTATCGATCAGTTGTGTTTACAAATATTCACTTCAATGTCCAAATACTGAATGATCTCTTGGAGTTTATATGGCTTCATTATTCCTGGCACCATTTCTGTGCTGAATAACGAGGTCAGTAAAACTTTTATTTGTTAATATAAAATAATATAGACGAAAATATTTTCGTTTTATTTTTCAAATTTTTTTAAGCAACGTAAACGAAATCGGAAAATGTTTGTTGTGTTCTTGTTGAATTTCGCACAAAGCTGCTTATGGACTATCTGCACTAGCCGACTCTAATTTTGAAAAGATAGACTCGAGATAAGGCAAGTAATTAACACCATCCACCGTCAGTTCTTGGGCTACTCTTTACCAACGAATAATGAGGTTGAACGTCACATCATAATGCACCTATGGCTGAAAAGACGAGCATGTTTGATGACAGATTTCAATCCTGGGACCCAGTTTGATATGAAAATGATATAAAATTCCAGAACTATTCTCTATAAAGTGCACATTGATGTAATTTAATTCATAGGTTCTTTCAGAAGAATATGCGATCTTTAAAATACGCCCTGACTACAAGGTCCTTGATAAAACTTGCTATTTACGCGTAATAACGTGAACTATTCTCGATTTTTGTTTGAAAGGGATATATATAAAAGAGGAAAAATCTCATTCCACGTGTTTAGAATTTTTTACATGTTTTTTGGTTAGAATAATTGCTATTTTTAATGGTCCAATACCATGAACCATGTTACAATATTTTTCTCGATGTTCGTAGGTATACTTGAGTATCAGAGGACAGAGAAAATTATCCAAGACAACATCTTCTCAACTGTATGATTGATTGTTATATGGTTTGTTTAGCTACATGTTATTGATCAATGATTTCGTTTTGTAGACATAAATATATGAAAAATAAAATTTTATAATAAATTCTTGACTTATTTTTAAACGCTTTTTGCATATACCTTTTATATATGCTTCCTGTTATCATAAGTACTACGATTATATAAAATTGGTTGGAATACTTAAATACTGTTTTATGCATGAGATTTGCTTTAATAAAGGAACTTAAAACATGTGTAGTATTAGCGTAAGATTTGAAATATGGCATATAATTATAGTATTAAAAATTAAAATAAACGTGTGTCAAAGAAAGTATCTTGTAAAATCACATTATCTTGAATCAACCAATAATGTACTTTTTTGTGTAGAATTTGAGAAACTGTTGTTGATAGAAAGAACTAATTAATGCAGCGGTTTTGAGAAAGAGTAAATTCCGTTGTTGAAACCGAAGGGTAAAATTCCTTAATAATCAGACATAAAATTGAAAGTTGTTTTAGTTTAATTTTATGTTTCGTCAATAGATGTCACGGCAAAACTGGAAGCTATTAGTCGGCTTTAGATGCTTTGTTTCTTATTAAGTACAAGGCTAAATAATGGGCTATCTGTGCTGTGCCTAACACAGGTATTGCAACTCTATTTTTAGCGTTGTAAGTCCTCAGGCTTACTGCTGAATCACCTGGGTGGCGATTTTAAATGCGCAAATCAATGCTTAATAACCTGCATCTCAAATATTCAATCGTTGTATAAAATATTCATAGTTCTGTCACATTAAACTATAATATATATCTACAAATTTGTTTTTAAACTCCCACCTCACACGGACATTCACAGATTGGGTTATCTTTATAGTAAATGTTCCTGCATTTTTGTAAACAGACTTAATTCATCCAGTTGTCCTGCTGAAATATGAGTAAATCTTCTTAATTACGAACAGTCACCAAAGGGATTCTAAATGTTGCCAGATTATAATCTGTTATTGATTTTTAATACAAGTTATAAAATGAATTTTATGAGTACCGTATTTTTCGGAAAATAAGACGCACCCTTATTTTGAAAACAAAGTTTTGGGGGGAAAAAAGCGACAGACGCATTTGAAATATTTGTATTGAACAAAAATTCAATTTGATACTTTAAAAATGAGCATATATTGTTCTAAACACAAAAGAGCTC